GTAGAATATTAATATAATCCATACTGTTATTATTAGTCAGTCCTAAGTTGAGGCCTGAAAATACATTTTTACCCTGGATTTTTATGTAATAATATTGACTGTAACTTAATTTGAAGTGTCTAATATAGACTAAAACATTCTTGCATTTCAACAGATTAAGGTTATATAGGGGAGAAAAAATATTGGCATTTTGCGGACTTTAAAATATGTTAGATATAATTTTTTCATTCCCATTTTGTGGAACTAGAATCAATAATGATCTATGTAAATTAACTTCCATCAATCCTATAGCAGGGGAATAACCAAAGTGACATTTACCATTTAAATGCCTCTTCTGGTTCCATTTAAAAAATTTCCCATTATGTTTAAGGTTTTACCAACAAATGAGAAATCTGTATATCTTATTGACCCGATTGTATAATTCCATAATGAAATGGAGTAATTTACATTCTCAAATGCTGTGAAGTACCTTGAAATAACTATGATGAAATATTTCCCTGATCAATAATTGTTTCAGATTCTGCTTCATGTGCTTCCAATGCAGATGTTTTGTGCTGATCTACTTGTTTAGCTTTATCATTCAGAGAGTGGCTGAAGTTGTCAAGAAGAATTGTTACTGTTCTCTGGGCTACCTGTAATCTGCCATTTATATCACAACTGAGAAGCCCAAGGTATTTAAAATGGCATTCACTTTACTTATTACCCCATTATTAGTTGTTAACTGAGCAGCATATTTTAGTGAAATATTTACATGTTTTGCTATTAGATCTGCACATAGTCCTCTCCCACTCCCACCCTTCCAGCCTGGTTACCCCCAACACATTATAATAAATATGACATTTTGCTATCTCCTGAGTGATTACAATAACTGTAGATAATCCCTTTATAAATTGTCATCCTTACAAAAAGAATTGAAGAAGCTTGTAATTTAGGGTGGGGTGGAATAATTTGTTTCTTCTAAAATCACAAAGGTATTTAGATTCTTGTAAAGGATATAAAAATTATCACTATCATTTTAGCTAGATGTATTGTTTTCTGGGATCATAGTTCTTTGGGGGAGTGATTATGATGGCAATTATAAATAAGAAAATAAGAGCATTAAAGGTCGTGAAGGAAAAATGACAAGAAAAAGAAATAAGGGTATTCAAATAGAAAAGGTGAAGCCAAATTGTCTCTATTTGCAGACGACATGATTAGTATATCTAGAAGACCCCACGCTCAGCCCAAAAATTCCTGAAACTGATAAGCAACTCTAGCAGTCTCAGGATACAAAATCAATGTGCAAAAATCACAAGCATTCCTATACACCAATCACAGACTTAAAGAGAGCCAAATCAAGAACAAACTGCCATTCACAATTGCTACAAAAAGAATAAAATACCTAGGAATACAACTTACAAGGACATAAGAGACGTCTTCAAGGAAAACTACAAACCACTGCTCAAGAAATAAGAGAGGGGCAACAGATGGAGAAACATTCCATGTTCATGGTTAGGAAGAATTAATATCGTGAAAATGGCTATACTGCCCAAAGTAACTTACAGAATCAATGCTATCCCCATCAAGCTACCATTGACTTTCTTCACAGAACTGGAAAAAACCACCATGAACTTCATATGGAGCCAAAAGAGAGCTCGCATAGCCAAGTCAATTCTAAGCAAAAAGAACACAGCGGGGGCATCACACTACCAGACTTCAAACTATACTACAAGGCTACAGTAATCAAAACAGCATGGTACTGGTACCAAACAGAGATATAGACCAATGGAACAAAACAGGGCATCAGAGGCAACACAACATATCTACAACCATATAATCTTTGATAAACCTGACAAAAACAAGCAATGGGGAAAGGATTCCCTGTTTAACTAAATGATGTTGGGAAAACTGGCTAGCCATGTGCAGAAAGCAGAAACTGGACCCCTTCCTGACACCTTACACTACAATTCACTCCAGATGGATTAAAGACTTAAACATAAGACCCTACACCATAAAAACCCTAGAAGAAAATCTAGGCAAAACCATTCAGGACATAGGAGTAGGCAAGAACTCATGACCAAAACACCAAAGCATTGGCAACAAAAGCCTAAATAGACAAATGGGATCTAATCAAACTCCACAGCTTCTGCATGGCAAAAGAAACAGTCACTAGAGTGAATTGGCAACCAACAGAATGGGAAAAAATTTTTTCAGTTTACCCATCTGACAAAGGGCTGATATCCAGAATTTACAAAGAACTCAAACATATTTACAGAAAAGAAACAAGAAGCCCATTCAAAAATGGGCAAAGGATATGAACAGACACTTTACAAAAGAAGACATACATGAGGCCAACAAATATATGAAAAAACGCTCATCATCACTGGTCATTAGAGAGACGCAAATCAAAACCACGAGATACCATCTCACACCAGTTAGAATGGCGATCATTAAAAAATCTGGAAACAACAGATGCTGGAGAGGATGTGGAGAAATAGGAACACTTTTACACTGTTGGTGGGAGTGTAAATTAGTTCAACCATTGTGGAAGACAGTGTGGCGATTCCTCAAGGCCTTAGAAATAGAAATTCCATTTGACCCAGCAATCCCATTACTGGGTATATATCCAAAGGACTATAAATCGTTCTACTATAAGGACACCTGCACACGAATGTTCATTGCAGCACTGTTTACAATAGCAAAGACCTGGAACCAACCCAAATGCCCATCGATGATAGACTGGATTGGGAAAATGTGGCACATATACACCATGGAATATTATGCAGCAATCAGAAATGATGAGTTCGTGTCGTTTGTAGGAACATGTATGAATCTGGAGAACATCATTCTCAGCTAACTGACACAAGAACAGAAATGAAATACCGCATATTCTCACTCATAGGTGGGTGATGAAAAATGAGAACACATGGTCACAGGGAAGGGAGTACTACACACTGAGGTCTACTGGGGGGAAAAGCGGAGGGCCAGCGGAGGCGGGGGAGCTGGGGAGGGATAGCCTGGGGAGAAATGCCAAATGTGGGTGAAGGGGAGAAAGGAAGCAAAACACACTGCCATGTGTGTACCTATGCAACTATCTTGCATGTTCTGCACATGTACCCCAAAACCTAAAATGCAATTAAAAATTAATTTTACAATTGCTTTACTGAACCTCAGTTCAGTTAGGTAATAAATCAATTCGGTCAGGTAATATTTATTATGTAATACAATGTTAGGGGAGAGACATATAACACCAATAGTTTCAATCTCATTGACTTTATAATCTACTAAGGAACTAAAGGTAAGTGCTAAAAGAACTGTAACACGATGTAAAACCTGTGAAAAGATTTAGGAGCAGCACAACTAATAGGAATTAGTGAAAATATACCGGCCTCAAGAATGAAAGGTGTGTAAGAAAAGAGTGACACCGAAGTAATTTGTTTTTATTTATTTATTTTTAACTTGGATTCTCAAAAGACAGGTAGAAAAACCGTCCTGGTTTGGCGTCATTAGCTTAGTTCAGTCCCCTCTCTCTCACCGATTACAACTAAAAGACTCATGACAAAATACAAATGGCAACTACCTGCAGACTCTGAAAGTAAATAAAGAATTCTGGTAGGGAGTCAAAACTCAGAATGCAAAAGGATTAATTTCCTGGCTTTTTTCTTTTCTTGTGGTTTGTCCTGAGGAGAGGCCCCAGTTGGGAACTGTTGGGTGGCAAAACTCAAATAGAAATCTCATCTTTCGGTGCTGAAGGGAAACAACTGATAGCCCAGAACTCTATTTCCAGTGAAAATATTTTGAGGAATCAAGTGAAATAAAGACATTCTCATATTAAGGAATGTCAACTGATCTGCCAAAAGAAATGCTTGGCAGGGCATGGTGGCTCATGCCTGTAATCCCAGCACTTTGGGAAGCTGAGGCAGGCGGATCGCTTGAGGTCAGGAGTTGGAGACCAGCCTGGCCAACATGGTAAAACCTCGTCTCTACCAAAAACGCAAAATTAGCTGGGCGTGATGGGGCGCGCCTGTAATTCCAGCTACTCAGGAGGCTGAGGCAGAAGAATCGCTTGAACCCAGGAGGCAGATGTTGTAGTGAGCCGAGATTGCGCCACAGAACTCCAGCCTGGGTGACATAGGCTCACTCTCAAAAATAAATAAATAAATAAATAAAAGCGGGGGTGCGGGTGGGAGAAAGACTTAATGACTAAATAAATAAGGCTGGAGAGATGAGTTGCAAGAATAGTAAGACTAAGGTTCGTAGTCTGGGAACCTAAGTGGATGAAAGTTGGAAGAATCAGGTGGAAAAGAACATTTCAAATAGACGATAAAGAAAAGTATATGACCTTTTGAGGCTGTGGTCCGCTTTGTTAAAGAGCAAAAGGAAGCAATTTCTCAAATCGATGCCATGCTCCTCTTCTTTACAACGATGGAATTATTTCAGGAATTGAGGTGGGAGTGTGCTTGAAACCACAGCTTTGGATCCCCGTTTCTTTCTTGAGCTACACTGTTTATTTAGGGCCACTAATTCGATGACTGAGCTTGGGCAAATTGTTACTTATTCTCTATGACTTAATCTTTCCATCTGTACAACGGGGATAATGTGGAATTGGAGTTTTGTGAGGGTTGAGATAAAATACATGAAAACTTAATGAAGTTCAACAAATAAGTGGAGTGAAAGATGAACGACTCACGACACATCTCAGGGATTTCAAAAAGCTGTATTAAGGATCAGATATTCAGGCTCCCTCCGCTCCCCAGGAGACCCGGGGAGCCGGCGCAAGGCGCTATCGTTCAATTCTTGGCCCATTTTCCTCATAATGGTTTGGCCGCGTTTTACCTCTTGATTTTCCGGTCCCAGGCTGCGGCTTCGACTCGCTCCGCCATGGGGCGCACATCCGCCAGCCTCTGTGGCTCAGCTAAGCAGATGCCGAGGCTGGAGAGCCGCGTCCAGTCTCCTAGGCAACCACATCAATTTCCGGCTTGAGGCGTGGTCCCGGTTGGCTAGAGGCCACATTTCTGCCACGTGACCCGCGCAGGCGCCATGTGTGCCGCAGGGCGCGCGTCCACTGACCGGAACACCGGCAGTGTTGCGAAGTTGGCCTTCTCAGTCCCAGCTTGGGCGGTCCCTTGGAAAGTGGCTGTCCCGGGCCTGGGGGCGGGGCCAGTGCTCGTCTCCGAGCTCTAGAGGTTCCGCTGAGAATTGAGAAGCGCGGCGGCAGCAAGACGCCTTCTCTGGAGCCGCCGAGCTGGAGTTGGAAGTGGAGCTCCGTGGGGCTGGGCCCCCGGCTGCGGGGCAGCGGCTCCTGCAGCCTGAGGCCTGGGCGGAGAATGAGAAAGAGCCAGAGACGGTGGCGGTCTCCCAGCCGAGCGGTGGGACCGGGAGCATGCTGCGGTGGTTCACCACTGTGATCCTGTTTTCTTCCTTCCTGGGGCTGGTGAGATCCCGGGCTTCAACCCTCCCAGGCCGGGGCGTTCGAGTCTTGCCTTCGCCACTTGCAAACTGACCTTAGGCGCATACCTAATCTTTCTGGGCCTCAGTTTCATCATCTGGAAAATGGGCACCCTTCTAAAGTTGGAATGTTATTGTTAAGTGCAAAAGAGATTTTCTGAATATGTTTTTCAGCTCCAGCAAGCCTTTTTTATTTTTTTATTGAGACGGAGTCTCGCTCTCTTCCCCAGGCTGGAGTGCAGTGGTGCAATCTCGGCTCACTGCAGTCTCCGCCTCCCGGGTACAAGCGATTCTCCTGCCTAAACCTCCCACGTAGCTGGGACTACAGGCGTCCACCACTATGCCTGGCTAATTTTTGTATATTTAGTAGAGGCGGGATTTCACTATGTTGGCCGGGCTGGTCCCGAACTCCTGACTTCTGGTGATCTACCTGCCTCGTCCTCCCAAAGTGCTGGGATTACAGGCGTGAGCCACTGCGTCTGGCCCAGCAAGCCTTCCTACTTCTTCTTGGGATGCGAAAGTTGCAAGTTGCCCATGGCTTTGGCTGCTGCTCTCCTTACCCTGTCACTCAACCCCCAAATTATTACACAGAAAAACTGCTTTTCTTCTTCCTGGTGGTCTGACTTAATTAGTCCAACTGCTTAATTTTGCAAATAAGGAAATAGGCCCAGAGGGGAAAGTGACTTTTCTGGATCACACAGCTGGTTACTTAACCAGCCAGAAATATGATAGGGCCAGGAATATGTCTCTTACTTTGCCCACAGCCCTATTTATTAATAAAACCAACTTGAGATTCTTAAATGTTTTTCTTGGCGCAAACTGCAAGGCTAGAAGCGACTTTTGCCAAACCCCTGGGCAGCCCCTCGATTCACTTTTGGGAAACCTCCCGCTTATCACCTGATACATGATCCTTGGGGAGTTGGGAGGATGCGTCCTCTGAAGAGTCATTTGTGGTCACTTAGCATCTCAGGGACTCTGAGCCAGAATTGTTTCTTTAGAATATTTTGATTGGGGGTGGTGGGGAGGGGTGAAGAAAGAAATCACTTCAGACTTTTGGTGAGTCCTCACTGAGTGTCAAGTATGTTGTAAATCCTTTGAAGACATGAACTAATTTGATTAGATTCTGTGCTCAGAATTCTCTCGAAGTACTAGGAGCTTGCTGTGCACCTGGGCCCACATTGGTCCTTAGTCTTGGACTGTTAATGATTGTGCAGGGGGCGCACTTCATGCATTTAGAGCAGAGCAGGGCAATTAGAATCAATGATATTCTGGAAATGTAGACTGATTGGAAACATGTAAGTGTCCAGTGGATTTCCTCTGAAAGCCAACTGTAATCCTTACTTCTTGCTAACACTGCATTATCTTTGAGTAAAGTTTTCTTTTTAAGTCATTCTATACTTGGACATGTAATATTTTCTAAGCAACCTTTACTGACTGTAATTCTGATGGCTTGGAAGAAAAGTGTAGATTTAGAAACATTAAATTGTTTATATGTATAGTTCAGGGGAAGGACCCCATGTGCATCCAGAAATATTGCTGTTTAACAACACCAAAAAAAAAAATGAATAATATTTTGATGTTTTGGTGTTTCCCAGTGGCTCAGTCAGAACTCACTACAGCCTCAACCTCAACGCTTAAGCAATCCTTCCACCTTAGCCTCCCTAGTGACTGGGACTACAGGCATGCACCACCACACCTGGCTGTGTTTTTTAATATTACATTTTATTAACAATACAGAATAGTCTTTTAAATATATTGTTCAGAAAAGAAACAGGATTGCAACAACAAAATTAATTCTTAAAAATTGAGAGGTGTCAAAACAAACCAAAAAAAGAGTTTTAGTCAAAACTAAAAACAGTAGTCTAATTCCCTGCGTTACACTGTAAATCCCAAGCCCTATCTCCCCCTTTTATAGTAGAAGAAGCTACCACATAGTTAGACATTATTTTAATTATTGTAAGTAAGAGCTTTTGTCTTTTTAAATTTCAGGGATTGAGTGTTGCTATACTCGGACCCACGTTTCAAGATTTGGCAACAAATGTGAACCGAAATATCAGTAGTCTGTCTTTCATTTTTGTGGGTCGTGCCTTTGGATATTTGAGTGGCTCTGTGATTGGTGGAGTTCTTGTTGACATCATGAATCATTTTTTACTTTTGGGTAAGTAAATGCTAAGTTTACTTTCTTTATGACTATCAGTTAATTTACAACTTGTCTTTGAAAATATGAAAGCACTAGCATGAATGGTTGGCAGTCAAAATGGGTAGTGTTAGGTGTCCTCAATGGCAGTTGGGTTTCCCTGGTACCTGCTTTCACCTTGACAGCTAGAGAGAATCTGTGTTGGGGGTCTCTGGAAATTTAGATTAGCTCTAAACTGTGTTAGCAATCCTTAGCCTTCCCAGCCACTATAATTTAGATAGCACTCCTGGATCACATACTGGTTGTCCAAAAATTCTGCTTATCAGGGTTTAGGCAGATTTCCTGGTGCCCCCATAGATCAGCAGGAGCTCCTTGATGCAGCCCAGCCTGCACCCTGCCCTGGAAATGAAGATGGGAGGGTGGGTGAACTGATGTGTTTTTGTCCCTACTGCCCCATGTCGTCGTTGAACAACACCAGGGGGCTCTGTCCTCACCCAGGAAATAGGAATAGGAGGCAAAGCTTTTTTTTTTTTTTTTTTTTTTTTTTTGAGACAGGGTCTCCTCTCCCTCTTTTGCCCAGGCTGGAGCGCAGTGATGGGATCTCTGCTCACTGCAACCTCCGCCTCCTTAGCCTCCCAATTAGCTGGGACCACAGATGTGCGCCACCACACCTGGCTAATTTTTGTATTTTAGTAGAGTTGGGGTTTCACCATGTTGCCCAGGTTGGTCTGGAACTCCTGAGCTCAAAAGATCAGCCTCCCAAAATGTTGAAGTTACAGGTGTGAGCCGCCACACCTTGCCTGGCAAAGCTTTGAACATATACTTTTTTAAAAATACATTGAAATATTTAGAGAAAATTTAGATTAATATAATAAAATTCTTTTGGAAGTAAGAATAATTTGTTGTTGTTAATTAATTAATTAATAATCTCTTTATTTCCAAAGTGGGCGGAAAGAACATATTTCTTATCTTTCCTCCCTATTTCTCAAACTAATTTATTTAGTAAATTTTACTACAACCTACTCTAGTAGTTGCATTTTATTTTTGTCTTTTTGATTTTTTGCCTCATGTCTAAAAATTTCTTTTAGGTTCTTCAGTGTGAATAATTTAAATTAATTTGGCTTGTCTCTTTTGGTAGAAACTTTGCCTTGTGGTATAATTTACAGCTGATTATTAGCATGCTGGAAATGTATTTGTGTTACAATTATTTATATTCATAGTCCATAAAGGATTATAAAAGGATTCCAATAACATACCCACTTTTAGAAGCAAAAACTCTCATCTACTCATTACCTAGATTTAAATTTGACCTTATGTTGCATGTTTGGACATTTATGATGTTGACTTGATCTAACGACTTTGCATGGATATTATTTTTATAGTTGACCTTTTCTCTGCCTTCGCAGGAGTGTCATGTCGGCTACCACAGTTGGTCTTTATCTGTTCCTTTTTGCAAGAAGCAGTATTACTCATGTCATGATGTCCTGTCTTGGGTGCTTCAATGGGCATTCTGGATACAGGTTAGTGAGCTCTTCTGTGTCATCTTGGGAGGAGGGTACGTTCTACTAGAAGAAGTACAACAGATAATGTTAATGATCACTTGCATGCCCTGTAAAATGACACAGACCTACTGAGTTGGTTGTGGAGTCACTCAGAACGAATCACCCTTCTAGCAGCTATTCTTGCTAATTAGGGGGCCTATTTCTGAGCAGCCAAGTCTGAAATGGACTTAAAGAATTTCGTTCTATTAGAGATGGTTGATTTACAGTGTCAACAGGGAAGGCCCTGTGTGGGTAATTACAGTGCAGGTGAATAGGCTTTCATTTTGGGGTAGAACTTTATTGTGCTTATATGGGAGGAGTTGGTGGTTTAATAGGTTAAACCAAATTTGGAACCACTGTTTAGCTGAGAAAGCATAGAAACAGCAATCCAACTTGACATGTACCTTGACTTCGAAGCCAAGAGAGGTTCGTGCTGTGGACCAGGCTCTTTCTTTTCTGTTCTTTCTGTTGGGGAAATATTTTATTTTACTTCAGGCTTGATTTGGTTATGAAATTATAGGGTGGAATTACATATTTATCTGAAAATATCTGTTAAAAAAAAAGGTAGCCCAAGATGTACTGCTTCTTGCCTTTCCCCTCCTAGATGTTTAGACAGTATAAATGCAGTTGCTGACTGGTGTCCTTGTTCCCTCCAATGGGCACACCAGAACCCTGGAGTATTCAGGTTCTTGGATGTACGTTTTGCATCTGTTACATACATAAGTAAGTAATTTTCCTCAAGTGGTTACCAAGAGCAAGTACAGAAAACTTTGGTAATTTGGCTACCATCTGATGGTTAAAATTTTGCTTTCTAAATATATATATGTAAAATATTAATATATGAATATTTCTTCCCCAGTCTGATGTTAGAACTGCATTATAAAAAGCTTCTTGCTAGTGTCCTTGGCTCTTGGAGGTGGTTTACTAGACTGTAGCATTTGATTTGTGAGTATGCGATGTTATAATGCTTACGGTTGTCTGGTGGTAGTGGGTTAGAGTTCCTTTTCAGAGTTTATTTAGTTGCAGTGTTTGATAATTAGAATATTATAATGCTTGTGCCATGTGAAATAAACTCACCTCCTTTCTGATAAGTGAACTTAAAAAAAAAGTTACTATGTTTTACTTAAATAATTTTTCCCATCTTTCATTGATAGGTGGTAACGTCCTTGTCTTGGCTCTTTGGGGGGACAAAGGAGCCCCACATATGCAGGCCTTACACTTCTGTTTTGCTTTGGGTGCCTTTTTGGCTCCACTGCTAGCTAAACTGGCATTGGGTCCGACAGTGTCTGCTGAAAACCACACAGAGTCTAACTTTCATCGTCCTGCACTCAACCAGTCATCTGATGCTGACTCAGGAGTTCTGTTTGGAGTACCTAATGATATGACTTTACTGTGGGCTTATGCTGTTATCGGAACTTACATGTTCGTAGTTTCTGTCATTTTGTTTGCTCTGTTTTTAAAGAATAGCTCAAAGCAGGAAAAAGCAAGAGTGTCTGCTCAGACATCTCGAAGAGCAAAATATCACAATGCCCTTCTTTGTCTCCTTTTTGTGTTCTTCTTTTTCTATGTTGGAGCCGAGGTAACCTATGGCTCTTATGTTTTCTCATTTGCAACCACTCATGTTGGCATGAAAGAAAGTGAAGCCGCTGGGTTGAACTCCATCTTCTGGGGGACATTTGCAGCCTTCAGGGGCCTGGCAATCTTTTTTGCTACATGCTTACAACCTGGAACCATGATCGTGTTGAGCAACATTGGCAGCCTGACTTCATCTTTATTTCTGGTGCTTTTGACAAGAACCCAGTTTGTCTCTGGATAGCAACTTCAGTGTATGGGGCCTCAATGGCAACCACATTTCCTAGTGGTGTTTCTTGGATTGAACAGTACACGACCATCCATGGGAAATCTGCAGCATTTTTTGTAATTGGTGCTGCCCTGGGAGAAATGGCTATTCCTGCGATGATTGGAATTCTTCAAGGAAAATACCCTGATTTGCCTGTAGTGCTCTATACCTCTTTGGGAGCCTCAGTAGCCACTGGTGTTTTATTTCCTGTGATGTATAAATTAGCCACTTCACCTCTTAATCGCCAGCGAAAAGAAAATAGAAAGAGTGAGGACCAGAAAGCTTTGCTTTCTAGCTCCGGGCTAAATGAATATGAGGAAGAGAATGAAGAGGAGGATGCAGAAAAATGGAATGAAATGGATTTTGAAGTGATTGAAATGAATGATACAATGAGGCATTCTGTAATAGAGACATCTGGAAATAGTTTGACGGTCCACAGCTGAAATCTGTAACCAACCCATCAAATGCAGTGGTGTTTGAGTCCTCTCCTGTTAATACTGGCAACTCCCATGTGAAGCACTTGTCTGAAACCAGGACTGACATCCCTAAATAATTGCCACTTCTAAGGAGGCCATTGAGAGCAGAGCATTAGCAGAATTTCACCATGCCTTGGGAATTAAAATTTCTAGGTCCAATTATAGTGAATGCTAAAAAGTTTTGAAATGTTCTGTAATTCCCAGAGTCTTCCATCAGTAACCAAATGGTCTCAAACACGTACATTGGGATCTTGTTATAAGGCTAGTATTTGGCATGTGACTGATTAGGAAATATTTTATGGTCTCTACCCTCAGAGCATGCAAAGAGGCGTTTGTGTTGAGAAGTTGGGTATTGTTCTCATAGAATGAGACCATGTAGGAGGTGAATTCATTGGTTGAACAAATTATCAGGTATCAGTACTTTGCCAGGAAAGTTGAGAATAGTTTTGTAAAAGAGAAATGGAGAGATACTATTATTAATTGCTTTCCTTATCTGTAGGGTTGGATCATAGAATGCTTGTGACTTATTTGATTTCTCATTTCAGTGAAGAAAACACAGAACAGGGCCAAGGGGCCTGGCTTCAAGCCTTGACTCCTAGCCTTTCACTCTCACTTAACATAGGCCTCATTTTTCTCTCCTCCTGATCGGTGATTCTAGAAATGAAAATGAGATGATTTCCAAATTGGGAATCCATACGTTTTAAAGTTTGTGCAAAATGTCTGCTAGAAATCAGTACAAGTGCCCCCTCCTCCCCGTTCTTCATTTCAAATGAGAAGTGAAACCAAAATGATAAATAGCTTTAAGAATGTGCTAATGAAAAGAAAAAAAGACAAAAAAAAGTGCTAATGATAAATGATTACATGTCAATTTAATGTACTTAATGTTTAATACCTTATTTGAATAATTACCTGAATTTAGTACTGTATTTCATTGACTCGTAAGTTGTAGTTTTTGTCCCCACACTTTTAATGTCTCTGAAATCAGGACATGTCTTACAATCAGTGATCATTTAACTTTGTGACAAAGTTCAGTTGGCATTTTTTCCCCATATGTATATATAAAATAATGTGTTTTACAATCAGTGGCTTAGATTCAGTGAAATACAGTAATTCATTCAATTATGGAGAGGATACTATCTTTACAGACACTTTAAAAAGAAGTTATTTTTATATGCTAATATTCTGTGTTCAAGTGGGATTTGGACACACTATGTTCTAATTTTAAAAGCTGTTTCAGAGTTACATTAGGAGTAGGGCTGTAGATGGAGTCTTTTGAGGTCCTTTGCCTACCTCAGTAACAGAGCCTGGGTCTGAGCCTTGCTCAAGATTAGCCCTTCACCATCTGGTGGTGATCATATCGTAATTACTGTAAACCAGTTGCAAATGTAATTTACAGTGAGGCAGTCTTTTCCAGTGATTGGAATACTTGTGTCACCCATTCAGGGTTTCTCCTTCCTGAGTTTGAAATACCTGGGAAACCAAAGTAAAGATTAGAAAGTGACTTGGTGGCTTAGGAGTCAAGGATCAGAAAGGGTATTTCCTGTGTGCATGGCAAAATTGGTGCAGGCAGTCCTTTGAAAAATGCCTAGAATTGATGAAATTTTGTTTACTTCCCCCAGTTTTATGCTGAATAACATCTAATTTCTACCTGATTGGAGTAGTTGTGCTTTCTTTTACTTAATTTCTGTAAATGTGCAATTGTTTTTGTCTCAAGTAAAATACAGCATCTTTCTTGACCACTGCCCATTCACCTTATATGCCTGCCACAATGTTGGTTCATGTAATGACCTAACAACTTTGGAGAGGGCTCGTAGAGAAGTTAATGGTTAAAACCCTCTTACTCTTTTTATTTCTTTTTTGGGGGGGTGGGTGGGTGGAGGACGGTGTCTCTCTCACTCTTACCATCTAGGCTGGAGTGCAGTGGCATGATCTCAGCTCACTGCAACTTCTGCCTCCCTGGTTCAAGCGATTCTCCTGCCTCAGCCTCTTGAGTAGCTGAGATTACTGGCATGCGCCCCCATGCCCAGCTAATTCTTGTATTTTTAGTAGAGAGGGTTTACCATGTTGGCCAAGCTGATCTCAAACTCCTGATCTCAAGTGATCCACCCACCTCAGCCTCCCAAAGTGTTAAGATTACAGGTATGAGCCACCACACCAGCCCTTCTGCTCCTTTGTACTGTACTTTTCCCGTTAGAACTCGGAAATTACTTCTGCTTCACTTAACTGCTTTTTCTCAGGTTGTTGGAAACTAGGCAGTAGCAGTTACTTGGCAGAATAGGAATTCCACCTTCAGCATTTACTGTTACAGGGTAGAAGATGCAGCTCAGGGAGAGGATGATGATGATAAGAAGATGGAAGAAAATTTCAAAATCCACACTGGAAAATTCACTATGGTTTCACAAACCAAAATATGAATGGTCGTGTGAGATCATAGGCATTGTTAAAGTTCCATATTGGAAGGAAAAGACTTAGTACAATTCTAAGAATTAGCATTCATCCTACTGATCAGTTCTTAGGTAAGTGTCTGCTGATACCTGACTAACAAATACCCAAGTATTTTGTTGCTGGGTAACACATAACAAATTGAACACCTTAAAACAACAGACATTTACCATCTCACAGGGCTGCTTATAGGGTTTCTTACTCTTGTAGACTGAGTTCCCTGTTTCTTGCTGACTGTCAGCTGGGCACCACTCAGCTTCTGGAAGCCTCCCACAGTTCTGTGCCATGTGGCCCACTCACAGATGCCTCTCACAACATGGCAGCTTCCTCAAAGCAAGCAGGAGAATCTCCAAATGCGTCTTAGATGACGTTATGTCATTGTGGGAGTAACATCCCATTGCCTTTACCATATTCTAGTATCTAGAAGCAAGAGTAGAGGCCAGCACGGGGATGTGACTCATTGGGGATTGCCTTAGTCTGTCTGCCACAGTCAGGTACCTGTAAAATAGAGATTTTCAAAAGAGCTAAAAGCTGTGAGCTAAGAGCAGGGTATGATGGCTCACACCTGTAATCCCAGCTACTCAGGAAGCCAAGGTGGAAGTATCCCTTGAGTTCAGGAATTTGAGACCAGCCTGGCAATATAGCGAGACCCTGTCTCTAAAAATTTAAAGAGACCCCTTCTCTAAAACACAAAAAGCCAACAACTATGAGCTGGGGGAGAAAAGCTTCAGCAATCACTGAACGTGATTACAGGTACAGCTAGTATGGGGATGGAATATGACCCATTACCCAGGCCGACAATTCTTATATAGGAGAATCTTTTTATGTTTGTAGGACAGTGGGTGAGTTAACTCAAGAGTTATGCCTCTTTTTTTTTTCCTCTCAATATTTTATTTCCCTTATCACTGTGCTTTTAACCTATTAAAATGCAGTTGAGGCCAGGTGTGATAGCTCACACCTATACTTCTAGCACTTGGGAGGCCAAGGTGGGCAGATCACCTGAGGTCAGGAGTTTGAATCAGCCTGGTCAACATGGCAAAACCCTGTCTCTACTAAAAATACAAAAATTAGGCCGAGCGTGGTGGCTCATGCCTGTAATGCCAGCACTTTAGGAGGCCAAAGCGAGTGGAATGCCTGAGGTCAGGAGTTCAAGGCTAGCCTGGCCAACATGGTGAAACCCCATCTTTACTAAAAATACGCAAATCAGCTGGGTGTGGTGGTGCAGCTGTAATCTCAGCTTTTCAGGAGGCTGAGACAGGAGAATTGCTTAAACCTGGGGGGCGGAGGGTGTAGTGAGCTGAGATCGAGTCACTGCACTTAAGCCCCAGCCTGGGACAGAGCAAGACTCTGTCTCAAAAAAAAAAAAAATAGCCAGGCGTGGTGGTGCACACCTTTAATCCCAGCTACTCAAGAGACTGAGGCAGGAGAATTACTATAATGACCCTACTGTGCTGTTGAACCCCAGAACTTACTCTTTCTGTTTTTATATGTATTTTTTTAAGACAGAGTTTTACTCTTGTTTCCCAGGCTGGAGTGCGATGGCATGATCTCGGCTCACTGCAACCTCTGCCACCCAGGTTCAAGCAATCCTTATGCCTCCGCCTCTCAAGTAGCTTGGATTACGGCATCTGCCACCATGCCCAGCTAATTTTTGTATTTTTAGTAAAGACAGCGTTTTACCATGTTGGTCAGACTGGTTTTGAACTCCTGACCTCAGGTGATCCGTCCACCTTGTCTTCCCAAAATACTGGGATTATAGGTGTGAGCCACCAAACCTGGCTTCTGTCTAACCATATTTTTTTACCCATTAACCAACTCTTTTGACCACCACTCCACCCTTTCCAGCTTCTAGTAACCATCATTCTACTCTGCCTCCCGGTCATCAGTTTTTAAAGCTTTCATATGAGTGACAATATGCAATACTTGTTTTTTCCGTGCCTGGCCCGTTTCACTTAACGTAATGACCTCAGTTTTATCCATGGTGCAGCAAATGATGACAATGTTTCATTCTTTTTATGGCCAAATAGTATTTCATTGTGTATACATACCACATTTTCTTTATCCACTTATCTATTGAAGGATACTTAGGCTGATTCCATATTTTGACTATCATGAATAGTGCCGCAGTAAACATGGGCATGTAGCTGTGTCTTTGATATACCGATTTTCTTTCTTTTGGATGTATATCCAGCAGTGGGATTGCTGAATCACATGGCAGAAGTATTTTTAGGTTTTTGAAGAACCTCCATGTTGTTTTCTACTTGTTAAACTAATTTGCATTCCCACCTGCAGTGTACTAGTGGTCCTCTTATCCTTTCCAGTATCTGGTTTTTTTTTTTTTTGTCTTTTTGATAATAGTCATTTTAGGTGGGGTGAGATGATATTTCATTGCGGTTTTGATTTGCATTTCCCTAATTATGAGTGATAGATACTGAGCATTTTTTATTTTTAAATTTTATTTTAAAAAATAGAGACAGGGTCTCATTATGTTGCCCAGGCTGGTCTCAAACTTCTGGCCTCAAGCAATCCTCCCACAACCTCTCAAAGTTCTGGGATAACAGGTGTGAGCCACTGTGCCCAGCTTGTAGTATTTTTTAGGTTTTTTTTTTTGAGATGGTGTCTTGCTCTGTCACCCAGGCTAGAGTGCAATGGCGCTATCTTGGCTCACTGCAACCTTCATTTCCCAGTTCAAGCGATTCTTCTGCCTCAGCCTCTGGAGTAGCTGGGATTACAGGCGCCTACCCCCATACCCAGCTAAGTTATGTATTTTAGTAGAAACAGGGTTTTACCATGTTGGTCAG